AAAACCTGCAATTTACGAAAATGTTTGTTATTTATATTACCGTTTCTTAATGTCATTCTTAACATGAGCTTAGATAGCCTCTTTAATTAAACTAGCAAACCCGCCCACTTTACCAGCTCTATATTAACTTATAAAACACATTCATACGGAACGAGCGTTATGCAAATGCGTGGATATACCGCAGTGCGTATGTAATGAGGTATACATTTTAATTACCCCTGAAACGTTGCCGTGGAGCTCTGCTAAAGACTACTGTAGAACACTACCTACATAAGAAATAACTTTGACGACATTCCGACGTATGTAACTAAGAAGGGTATGATAGCACTTCTCAGTATCAAAGGCAAAAACAAAGTCGTTTGGATTTGAGTCTTAAGGCAAGGCAGTTTCCGGTTGGACCGATGCCAAACTTGTGAAATTTAGCACTACCAAAACGCAGGTATGTCTATTCTCTACAAAACGGACTCCCTTTGATCTGATTCCGACTTTTCGTGATGTATCCATAACGATAACCGACCGTTTCCAGCTACTTGGAATGGTCCTGTCGTCCAATTTGAACTTCGGCAGACGAATAGAATCTATGGCCAAAAGGCAGCCTGGAAGCTTGGCATTCTTCACTTTCTATCAGGGGAGATGGAGGACAAATGTGCACTAATTTTTTTTTAATAATATCAATAAAACGTGATTCAGCAATGGGGTCTCGCCAAAAGATGTATTTTTTAAATTATATCATTCAATATGATTTAAAGTAATTTATACTACTCATTTCTGTACAACGGTGAAATATTTGGCATCAAAATGTTTGAATCTCTGAAAGTGCTGAATTCTATTACACGCTCTCAACACCGATAATGATGTGAGTCTATCATCAGCGCGGTTTGTATGTATACACACATACTCATAATCTCGCGGTGCACTCGCGTTGCATAGCGCGGTGTAATGTAAGAATTGAAGCGTTTGCTCGTTGTTTAAAAAAACGACATAAATTATCGACTTTTTAATGTTGTGGTTACGGTTGTTTGAACAAGAGTGCCTCAAATTCACAGTTGTTCAGCGTTTCATTAATTCATATACTATATATTCATTCATCTATTTGTTAATCATACTTCCATTATCGAGATACCAATCGTCGATGCTGGTGTAAAAATAGCAATACGTAAGTAGGTACTGCATTTAACAAAGGTTATTTCAATATAGTACGAGAATATTCTGATGAACGCCTTTCTTTTATCAAATTACGCTTACAATTAAAATAAAGTGACAACATTACGCTTCGAGCCGGAAGATGCACTACTTGATTTCCCACACCATAGTTCAGGTGTCAACGCTGCCGATCAGCGGTTGTCGGATTCGTACGGATGGGATCGGAAATTCGCAGAAAGTAGATACGTTGCCGATCTGTGTCGAATCGCGTCTTATGAGCCGAAACGCACAACATCATTTTCGCTGACATAAATTTTATTTTGACCGACTTAATGCGATGCCGTGTTGGTGTGGTAACTCTTTAAGCAAAACAGTGCAATAGGATGGGATGGCATAGAAACTTTTCTGCCAAAGATGTTAGACACATGCTGGTTGCAGTTCTTCGTCAAGTCATTATTATGCTTACAATAGAGAAACTTTCCTTTTGTTTTGAATACGGGTTGTTTAAACCCTATGTTCAAGAATGAAAACATTAATTTTGGACTAATATTTGTTACTTATATTATGTATTTTGTTTACAAAAAATGTTGAACATGGCATTGTTTTTATTTTTTTTTTTATTTTTTATTGTGACTCGGCAAAATGACTGCACCGCGCCTGATGGAAAGTGCGAATACAGTCCAGAGATGAGAGTAACGGATGGAAAACACAAATATCTTCACTCCGTCACTATCATTTTGCCGGTCTGGCCAAATGCTTCTTCACACTACGTTTGAAGGACCCGATGTTATAGAGGGGAGGGAATACATGCGCCGGGAGTTGGTTCCACAATTTGATGGTTCGGCATAAAAACGAATTGCCAAACTTTTTAGTGCGGGACGGTATTGAACTGACCGTCCATCTGTGGCAACGCAGTTCGGCACGGGTGGTCCGCTGATGGAAAGGAGAGGAAGGGATAAGGTTGAATAACTCTTCAGAGCACTCACCGTGGTACAGGCGATAGAATACGCTAAGAGACGCTATATCTCTGCGAAGATGTAACGACTCCGCATGCTCAGTTACATGAGGATCGTTGACAACACGGAAGGCGTAGCGCTGCAGTCCATCTAGGGCATCGAGCAAGTACTTGGCAGAGCCGTCCCAAAGGTGCGAACAGTACTCCATGCTGCTTCGGACCCGAGCTTTATACAACAGGTATCGCAGCTCTGGAGTAAAACCCGGAGTGGTACCCGGTGGAAGCGAGACGTCCGCGAGGCATACCACCTGCTAGATAGTCGGACGATATCACCCGAGTGCCCGGAGGGCTGTGAATGAGACTCGCACGGGACCGCTTGAGCTGGCCTGCAAAAGAGGAGGCCAGCTGTGGGTGTTAAGGGGCTGAGATGATAATGATGATGGTGTTCTACGGGGTAGTATACTTGGACCTGTTTTGTTTTAGTCTATATATATATATATATATATATATATATATATATATATATATATATTATTATACATACGACTTATGCGACCCACCAATGATAAACTCAGAAATTATAACTTACGTTCATTATATTATGCCATAGGGTTTACGGTGACACTTGAGATAATGCCCGATCTCCTGCTGCGATCGCATAGTTAGTTATGGCTTGACTTGCGAATAATTACTATCAACTTAAACAAAACAAAATTAATTTACCCTTACTAACATTAATTTACCCTTACTAACTAACTTACACAACCGGATAAAGCTTGGAAGGTTCTGTTAAGAATTAAATATGGAACAGCAGCAGAGATAGTGATAAGAGCTGTTAACGTAATATATGATATACGTACATGGTTAAGGTGTTTAAACCAGTTCATGTATTACGGAAAGTGACCCGTACGGGTTAGAAAATTATTCATCTCTGAGTTCACAGTTTCAGTAACGATGACGTTGAAAACGTGTTTTACACACACACACGCACACGCACACGCACACGCACACGCACACGCACACGCACACGCAAACGCACACGCACACGCACACGCACACGCACACGCACACGCACACGCACACCCACACGCACACGCACACGCACACGCACACGCACACGCACACGCACATGCACACACACACACACACACATACACACACACGCACACGCACACACACACATGCTCACGCACACGCTCATACACCCGAACACACATGCACATAGACACACAACACAGCTCTTTTCGTTATAGTACTGTTATTCTGTTTATGTTAAGGGCATTTTTTCCGCCACAGTGAGTTGTGGTTCTCCGCCAAACGGGAAGCGAAATTGTCAAAACAGTTTATGAACTCTAGATGTCACGTCCGCCCGTGGTCTTTACAATATTACGTTAGTATATTGTGAATACAATAAGGTTGTACATTACGAAAATTGTCCTTCGGGAGTTTGTGTAGTATTGTTTTTGACATTTGTACTACAGCGTTTGCCGTGTTGGTAAAAGATGAAAGGGATCAAAACTTATCCTGCGCTCTCCGCTAAAGGAAGTTCGTATAGAGATACGTTAGCGCAAACCGACAGATGGCAAGGCGTATGACATTCAATTTATCAATGTACACACATCAAAAGTGTCTAGGGGTCAAGCACATTTTAGCCTATTAGTGAAAATCAGGTTTTTTCATTAACTTTGTGATAATTTTTATAATTTGCATTTAAAAATTAAAATTCATCAAAAAAAAAAATCCATTCGTGCTGAAGAAAATTCATTAAAAAAAACCTGATTACCAGTATCGAGTTCTTAGGTTTTCGCACTCGATTTCCATTGTTACACATACATATGTACATCAACAGTGACCATGGGACCTGTAAAGGGCCCGAAAACTTGGTTTGTTTTTTCAAACATACCAACGTTTCGGCTCCTTTACAGGTCCCATGTCTGAAGTATTTGAGTAAGTATATTGTCTGTCGACCGTGACCATGGTTGATGGACGTTGGTTTGTTTGAAAAATAAATATACGCGATTTAAATCCGGAAAAATACTTTCATTTCCTATCTGATTTGCTTGATCCCTAAACATATTTAATGTGTCTAAATTTTATGCTATTAGAATTGCATTGAGATATAAACTTCAATGCTCTAAGACACAGAGAAATGCAGAGCGAAGCTTCGAGGTCGGTCTCAAGGGCATTTAAATATTATCATACCTTTCAAACATCATGACATTCAATAAAACTTAAAAATTACAATGATAAAAGCGACATCTCTTGACAGCTGCTGGTAACTGTAAAGGTGAGTGAAGTAATAGATTTCTTTCAGATGGCGCTACGCCAAAAAGTCGTTAAAAACCTAAACCAAAAATCAACCAAAGATCAGACAAGCACATACAAAAATTCGTAAATCGTTTCGTGGCTTAGTTGACATAGCATCTGGCAGGGTTTGCTGGAAAACGTTGGTTCGAATCTAGCCGGTTTGAAGAATTTTTTTCTAAGTGTTCGATCTTAATTAATAGTAATAACAAACATTGGAGTAATTTCTCAAAAATAATTGAATATCATAAGTTATTTCTATTGAAATAGCATAAAATGTACATTAATAAGTTAGGATATTACTCTACCTTCATACCAGTGTATGAAGGTAGTAGCACCGAATGTCCAGCATGGGGCGACGTACGATCCAACATGATCTCCGTGGTTGGGAGCGACCTGTCACTGCCGGTCGTAGTCAAGGCTATGGTCGATAGCGACAGGGCGTGGAAAGCAGTTTCCGCCTTTTGCGAGGCGGTGCTAAGAGCGAAGGAGACGGCGGAGCGGATGAGGGAAGACGATGTGTTCTCACATCCGATCCGTCGCAGGAGGATTGGGCGCACGCGGTAGGCACATGTCTGCCGCATGCCTCTATTACAAGAGCCTCCGGGCATCGGATGCGGGGACATTCGGTGCTTTAACGGAGACTGGATGACGTGCACTTTGTATCGGTACGTCATCAGCATAGGGATAGGGCGTAGAGGGAGACTCGTTAAGTGGTCGGCATAACCAAGAGGTTGATAGGGAGGGGCACTATAAACAAAACTTATGTAGAATGATGTGGGACTGGCCCTTAAGATATACACGCGTACTTACCTAAGTGTTCGCGGAACTCATAATCGACATCTCATAATTTCTGTCACATACCTCAGGTTATAAAACTATTTCGTTTGCAAGTTTTTAAATCGAGATTAGAAGAAGTCTTTTTTTGAAATTTTCTAAAAAAACTGTGTATTTTTATATAGGAATAGTTAAAAAAACGAAAGCGTTTTCTATCCGTGTTTAGGAAATTGAAGTCTATCAGTTTTACTTGCCAATTTATTACCTGTAATTTAATATACTTACACGGGGGACGCTCTCGTCCGTAACTAATGCCTTCTACAACCCGGCTAAAATATGAACTATAAATATAAACCTGAATTGCATTGCGTCATTCGTTTTGCGTTTTCTAATAAAAAGAAGCTTTTATGCCATTGATAATAAAGCTGAAGATTTAGTTTGTAAAATATTAAATTATACATTTCCAGATTAAGTAATAATTCTATTCGATGTCAGACGAAAATTTAAATTCATTATATTGTGTGGTATTAAAATGTAAGCATATAAATTCTAATCACTGTATTGCCACTAATGACAATTAGTTTGTAATTAGACTCTTAAATACTGCCCCCGTGGCCGAACGGTGAACATGCTGGACAGTTACCATACCATGCAGAGGTCCCGGGTTCGAATCGCGGGCCGGGAGAAATATTTGTATTGCCTAGATTTATTTTTTTCGTGAGTTTGGGTGTAATTTGTGGTTGTCTCTGTGTGTGTCCAGGGCACCCGTGATACAGGGTTTCTATGAGTGTGTGCTTTATTTTAATTTTATTTACTTAAATATTAATTAATAGTTAATATAATAATTAATATTCCTTATAGTGTAATATCATTTTATAATCAATAGCCTTGACAATTCCCTCCAGAATTTTTGAAGTTTGTGGGAGCTTATTGCATAGTTATGTTGGGCGCTTTTTTTTTTGCTAAGAGCTATTTTTTATGTGATAAAAGCACTTTTATTTTAAACACCTTACTATCCCAAAAAATCTTGACCAACATTCCGTTGTCGCTTCGGTCCATCAGCACGCCTCGCCACTTTATTTAAACCAATAATGGTAAAGCCCACGTTAAAATTGCCCACAAACGACAACTCCATGAATTTGTTTCGAAAGTAACGGTAGTAATTAATGACTTTTTGTACGCTTAGGCAGGTTTTTAAATTTTCATTTATTTCACTTGAAACGAAAAGGAAGTTTAAAAAGAAACCTGATTGTACCTCGTTCGTTAATTGATTACGTGCTACGAATTTATATTTCTCTTTTATTCCCTCCTTGGGTCTTGGCTAAGTGATACAATTATTTATTCTTTATTATATTAGGCACATCAACATCATATGTATTTGACAATCAACAAAAATTAGACATGAGGCTAGGACTGATACATATGACAATTACAGTCGTACTCAGCTTTCGTTATATAATCACTATACATATATGTACATACGTTACAGCAATTTTTACAAGATGTAAACGTAAAAACACAACCAGCGCATGACTACTGCTCTTAAAGAACAACTATTGCCGTCTTTCTCACTCGTTACAAAGTAATTGAAGAATTTTTTTATTTCTCTATCGACCAGAAAAGATGTGATTCTTCTCAATGACTTAAATGAATAACGCTAATCTGGGTAGCATTATATTCAATTTCACAACAATATCGCAAACGTAACTACACAATGCTTTTTAAAAAATTACTTTGTTAATATATTTTTACATAAATTAAAAATAAAAGCGAATAAATAGAAGCGATAGTAGACAATGAAATATACGTATAATACTATATTCTAGAATACTAGTAGTGTTAATTTTATTATTATTTAAAATGTGATGTTAGCTTGTGCTTATATACTGATAAAGGGTCAGCAAGCTTCTCAAACCATTGTAGCTTCTACATATTCTATTAATAGGTGAATTGAGGCCTACATTTGTTACTCAATGGCAAATGCAGGATCTTAGAAATAGGTTATCTAGGATAATTATAAGGCACGCCTATTTTGATTTGGTTCAGGATGTCGGGACTGGTAATTTGGCCATTTAGGATCTTGTACAAAAAGTCCAGGTCATTCTTCGTTCTACGTGCCTTCGGTGATTCGAGTTTAAAGAAAGTGACACATTCAGGTTAAAAGCAGCAATGTCTATGTGTTGACTGACTACGCCTATGAAGCATCTACCATCACAGATAGACTTCGTATATCCATAGCATAAGAGCAAGTATGACATACTCACCCATAACAGTTGCGGTTTCACTCAGAGCTTTAAATTGCAAAGGTGTGACGGGACTGCTGCTGCGCCCGTCACTCCGAGAAATAATGTTGTCAAATCCCACGTGGCTAGTATCACTCTCTCACACAGTCTTTATTTGCCGTCTTTATTATAAGCAAATGAAAAGCAATCATAGCCATATCATGTTTCATGTGAACATAAGTAAATAGAATATCAAAAAGCGTATTTTCAATCCATTGCTTCAAATGTATTTAAAAAGATAAAATCTACAGTAAATTGTTTCGTTTTCCGTTGAAATGTGGTAAACGTCCGCAAATGATTCGAAACGCCGGCAAAGCAGTGGTAATGTTGATTAATGACCCTCTTTTTCGCTCGTGAATACCCGGTGACAAGCCTTGGTACATACAATTCGTTTCCTTTTGTGGCCTTTATGACAATTTCAATTCTGAAAATAAAATGTTTCCTCTTTGTACTTGCTAAGTACTGTAAATAATTCGACGAATTGAATACGATATTTATTCCAGTTTAAGGGGCTTTTAGGGAATCACCACACTTATCGACACGGGATAAAAGCGATGCTTTCCTTAGACTTTGCGTTGTAACGTTGCGTTGTACTACATATAAATCAGGACGATATGCTACACGGTGCTTTGAAACAGTGCGTCACCGCAAGCAACTTACAGGGATGCCACAGGGGCACTGGCGTCACCTTCCCAAACCGGAACGCAGTAATGATCACATTACTGCTTGGGGGCAAAAAAGGTAAGGTATAAAAGTACGAAATCTTTCACATGGAGCTCTTCTGGTACTAGTAAATTACGTGTATGTGAAATCTTGTACCTCACCTATAAGATATAAAAGTTATCGACTAATTTCTTTTGCAGAATATTGAAACCTCTGTTCTAATAAGTTGTCATTTTACAGATAATATAATAATTAGGGAAACCCTTTATCGCGAGTGCAATTGACACACCTACTACACCTACACATAGACAACCATAAATGACACTCGAACTCACGAGATAAATAAATGTAGGCACTTTTTTATATATAAGATCATTGACGTAGCACATATTAATATTTCTCCCGGCCCGGGGATCAAACTTGGGAACTGTGCGTGGCAGTCCAGGATGGTAACCGTTCGGCCACGGAGGCAGTAAATGAGATGTGGGCACATTTAGGAGTATAAAAAATTGGCAAGCCGTTTAGAAGTTAACACAATAAAACAAAAAGGCTCTATTTATGAATAGATACAACATTTACAACCTATAAATAACTAGAGAAACGTAGTTAACCTTTGAAGCACGTTCAATATGTACTCAATGTAATTTTAATTAATTTGTGGTGATAATACCAACTCAACATGTGTCGACCTTCATGAAGGATGAGTTTTGGCCGAGGGGTGTCATTAACGACGTTTCCGAGGCCGGATACCGGACACCCACGTTGCGTCACACGTCGCAGACAATTGGTGTAAATAACAATTTGTCATCTAATGTTTTATTGTATTGTTACGTATGTTAGTCTATAAGATAATGTATTTTATGGGTCATTGTAACCTGAATATAAATAACTAAAATAAAAAAATATTCACAAATATTTTGTCAAACATTCTATTCAATACTTTATTCATGGTGGTATGATCAGCTCCACAGAGCACGTGTGCGTAAATGATAAGTAAGTACAGTAGCATACTGCGACAATAAGGCTTATTACACGAACTGTGTGAAGAATATGAAATATGAAATGCACAGTCAACAGCGCGCTAGTCTTTACACTTGTGATTCAAATCCAATTCTATTCCGCTTGCCATACGAATGTTCCAAAATGTAAAAAAAACTCAGTGTGCTACTGTCCTTATTTATCATTTGAGTGCAGGTGCTCTGTAGATCTGATCATACGACCATGAATAAAGAATTGAATAGATTGTTTGACAAAATATTTCTGAATATTGAATGTGCTTCAAACCGCGCGATTGCGTTTATCAGTCGCGCGTGCAATCGCGCTCTCCGACACACGCGAGTTTCACGCGGTCTGTCCTGCGCGATGAGCCTTTACACGGACGCTCTTTTCGTTGTGACAAACGGGCAATCGCGCATGCAAGAACTTTAGCTTTAAAAACTTCATACAGGAAAATGCGCGCGATTGCGCGTGCAGGCTTTCCCGCGCGTAATCCTCTGCTCTCCTGATCACGCGCGGTACAGTAACTGTCTAAATGGGGCTAATGTTTCTCTAGGTAATTATAGATTGTAAACGTTGTATCTATTCATAAATAGAGACATCATTTATTTTATTGTGTTAAGTTCTAAATGGCTTGCCAGTCCTTTATACTCATAAAGACAATATAATTACCTAATAACCAGGATAATGCCAGTCTAAATTAACAAATGAATTAAACCTCTTGCGGCTGATGCTTCGAAATAGGCTATGCTGATTACGTGGATAATTGAAGGGGCATAGTAAAAAAAAAGTAATGGAGGTACCTAATGTACAAATAGACAATAAGATGACAATGTCTTTTATAAATGTAACAAATACGTATATTGGGTGTGGAAAGTTACGACCACAGACAACATAAACACTAGGTTAGTACTTTTAGTAGCAGTAAGTAGAGCTCCTTGTAAATGGGTTCGTTCAGGGAAGTG